AAGCTTGCTGATTCCCTAGGCCTGATCTTCTGAGGCTATGATTCAATTTTTCAAGGTAGAGATAAAATATACACTCCTTTATTTTTTTCTTTAAAAGTTTTCTCAGATTCTTCGCATGTGCCTAAAATTTGATTATATACTTGTATCATTTCTCTCTCATTTTGATCATATGGCTTGGCTTATGCTGGGATCCTGGCATCAAAACTGCAGATAACAGCACTCACTACCTATTTCCTACAGCGATGTTTAACTGGCATTAGGCTGCATCATTTTTCTTGGCTAAATTTCAGAATCGAAGACTTACCTAAAAAAATTTAATTTTATTATTCAACATTCTACACAGTTTGCATAAGTTAACACTGGCAGAGACTAGATTTTCTCTCTTTATGGTTGGAAACATTTTAGTGTTGTTGATTTTAAAGCTTGAATATAATAATAATGTTGGCAAATTCTTTACCATTTTCTGACACGAACATGTTTTATTTTCCAAGGTTCACTTGGTTAAAAATTGTCAACGACATAGAAAATTCTTTGTTTTGGGAGGTAGTTGTGCCATTTTTTTCTTTCTGTTATTACCATTCAATAATCGCAGGAACTAACATTTTACTGTATCTCTACTTTATTCTTAGTTCTCTATATATTACTAGAGGCCCATTGCACAAAGATTTGTGCAATAGGCCTTCCTTCCATTGGCTGCCAGCACCAGTTTTCTTCTGGTACCTGGGACCCAGTCCTTTCTGGCCGCCGCCTTCCATCTTTGCTCCAGCTGGCCGGAGTCTTTGCTCAGGCCAGAGCCTTCAGTCTTCTCTGCTCCCACCAAAGCGCCACTCCTGTCGCTCCTTCTGCCCCTCTCCCCCACATTCCCTCATAGTAGACGTTCCACCCTGCCCAGCAGCTCTGTACCTGCATATGCAAATGAACCCGCCATCTTTGGTGGGTTAATTTGCATCACCACCACTGGTTGGCTGTCAGTTATCACGGAGGTACAGTCAATTTGCATATTTTCATTTTATTAGTGTAGATTTTCTTATTTAGTCCAAATGATTATCCTGTAAATAGCCATCTATGTTCCAGAAGAGAGAATTAGGAGTTAGAGAGTCTAGTGACAGGTAGAGCAGATATTTAAATCCATATATTCCTGACTCCAAGATATGCTGTTTGTGTGCCGAGCCACCTGGAAGTGACCTTGGACCTCACCTAGCTCAACTTCACCTTAACATCTAAATAAATACATTATGTCTATATTGCTATTCATCAAAAGTGTATTACCTGCCAGAGGCTATGCTAAGCACTTTATATACATTATCCAACCTACTACATATATTAAGCAATAGAGAGATTAAGTCACTAGCTTAAAGTGACTAGATAGTTACTTAATGGTATAGTCTACAGGTAAACTTGAGATTGTCTGAATCCTGAGTCCATGGTTAAACTATATCAGCTCGATGTTTTTCTGAAACATGAAAAAACTAAATTTGACAAGGTTAAGTGACAGTCCCAAGATCATCAGCTCTTTGGTGGCAGAACAAAATTCAGACTCTGGATTTGCTGCCGGCCAGTTGTTTGTGTTCCTTCTACTGTTTTGCAGTGGGTAATGTTTGATCAGAAATGACATCCTATATAATAAAGAGATAATATGCAAATTGACCATCACTCCAACACAGAAGATGACCGCCCCATGTGATCAGAGATGGCCACCCCCATGTGGACACAAAATGGCTGCCACAAGATGGCCAGCAGAGGAAGGCAGTTGTGGGAGATCAGGCTAGTAGGGGAGGGCAGTAAGGGGCAACCAGGCTGGCAAGGGAGGGCAGTTAGGGGTGACTGGGCCAGCAGGCGAGTGGTTAGGAGGTGGTCAGGCTGTAAGGCAGAAGTGGTTAGGGGCAATAAGGCAGGCAGGCAGGTGAGCAGTTGGGAACCAGCAGTCCTGGATTGTGAGAGGGATTGCCCATTTAGGCCTATTTCACCAGGATCGTGCCTAAATGGGCAGTCGGACATCCCTTGAGGGGTCCCAGAGCATGCAGGCAGGGCTGGGCTGAGGGACACCCCGCCCTGCACAAATTTTGTGCACTGGGCCTCTAGTACTAGTATAATAAATCCTAACAAAAATGGAGTTGAAGTACTTTATGGCACCTGATTCTTCTATACATCTGAGTTCAGCCATCTGCATTCTCATGAGTTGCTTGGGGTTTGTTCATCTGTGGGAAATAAGGTATAGAAGTATCTTTATGAGTCCTAGCTACTAAAATTATGCACATCCGCTCATTATTTTTCTTTTTTATATCAGTGAACATTGAATATAGTACATCAGAAAAGAGATTTCTAATAGTTCACTTTATAAATGGCTTTGAATTCTAGGTACAATTAAAGTTATTCATTGCATGAGGTTGTGTTGTGTTTTTTTTTTTAATTTCTGTATTGTCAAGAGTAACATGTCAAAATATGGTGAAAATAGTTCTTTTCTCAGAAATGTTGGAAGCATCTCTAAGTTCAAGCAAGTTCCTTTCCAGTGCAGTGTGTATAATTAATCACCTTTCTCTGTTTCAAAATTGTCAGCCACAGAATGGAAACTTTAGCACTTACCAAAGGATCAAGTACTGAAATAAAAATAATCTGCCTTTTAGTTGTCACATGGCATCCATAAATCAAAGCCATTTTCTGGAAGAAAGTAGCTGTTATCTTTACTGAATGTGCAGCCATGGCTGTTGACCTATGATAAGTGGCACAAAGGGTGTGATTTGGGCATTTCTTCTTGGATTCCTGTAGCACTTCCCAGGTGCCTGCAGAGCACGTGAAATGTAGTGTATAGCATGATGGGAGGAAGAAAAACAGGACCCTAGGAGGCCCTGTCCCCTACCCTCACAATTACTAACGGTGATGGCAGACCAAGTAGAGAGTCTTAGTCTCACATTCCTCCTTCCTTCCTTCATGTTCTCTTTTGCGCCCAGGCTGTGCTGTATATTGACCCAGCAGTAGTGATGAAAAATAAGCACCCCGTGCTTGATAAAGAATAATGCAGGCAAAAAAAAAACCCTTTGCCTGCCGAGGCCGGTTTGGCTCAGTGGATGGAGTGTCGGCTTGCGGACTGAAGGGTCCCAGGTTCGATTCTGGTCAAGGGCATGTGACTTGGTTTGGTCACGTCCCTGGTGGGGGGTGTGCAAGAGGCAGCTGATCGGTGATTCTGTGTCATTGATATTTCTGACTCTCCATCCCTGTCTCCTCCCCTCTGTAAAAAAAAAATCAATAAAATATATTTTAAACACACACACACACACACACACACACACACACACACACACACACACACAAACATTTGCCTATCACATGTACCCAGTACAGCGTGTCCCACCACATGGAGCATTCCAGTCCTACCCTTTCATGTTACACACATTGAAGTAAGTCGTGAAAAGGAAAGATAGATGACAAAGACCTCAATGTTGATGTACAAGGAGTAGAAAACTGAATGCCCAAGGAAATTCTAGGCACAGACACATCTTTTCTCCTTGCTGAGGGTGACGTTGTGGATTGAAAGACTTATGCCTCATTATTGTGCCAAATGTAGGTTGGTTCATTCATTTAACCTCCTGAAACTCAGTATCTTCACATGTAAGAAATCAAGACTGATACCAATTGGTTGGGCACAAATTAGTCTCTGCATGAATGCTGCCTGGTTCTGCCCCTTGCTTGTTATTCTGCTCCCGGTTCCTCTGAGGAAGAAAGGACTGGGCACTTTGATTATATATGGATTGGCTATAAAGTAAGATGGCACCCTTCATCCACACAGTAGATTTCATATCCCTGGAAACAGGGTCTCTTTCTGCCAGATTTCTTAGATAGAAGAAGAAATTGTTTCAGGGTGTGTATAATCTTTGTGTGAAAAGCCAGTCTTATGGCTTGTCATCCCTATCCCCACCCCAGCTCCATTGGTACAGAGGGCTATGCTAAAGGATTTGTGTCTGTTTTCTGAATTAAACCCCATCTACAGAAGAGAAGATGTGCTATTGTTAATGTTGTTTTAAGGAGACGATTACTGGCTCTGAAAAAAATATGCTCAGTAATTCTATGTAATAAAAATCCTCTCTTGATAAGGTGCTGTCTGACATTTATAAATGGACCTTTTTACAAATAAACGTGGACTTCTCTAACTGAAGTTTGAAATGATGAAAAATATAAGAAACAGGGTAGTTTGCCACCATCTAAGGCATTGGGCCCAAATGATGCTTTTCAGTTAGCATCATTTTGTAAATTGGTGATGCTTTGTAGCTCATTTATCTTTGCTCTTGTTTTGCTAAAGGAAAATAATGGGTTGATTTCCAGAGATGTAACTACAGTGAAATGTGGCCGCAAAGGTTTAGCTATGATGTCCTGCACATATATTTCCTCTAAGATAAACAGAAGCTCCTGTCTAAGTTGGCATTGGACAGAGAATACATAATAAGAATATTTTTGGAATTGATGTCCTAGAGATTGCAGGTTGGAGGGCAATTTACTTCGTGTATCCCCTTTGCTCCTCTCTTCACTTAAAAAGCTTTCCTCTAAAAAGCAGCATTTGTGCATAAAATGTAACTGCTTATAAGTACCAGCTACGTGCAAGGTGAAATCAGGCTAAAACAAACGCTGAAGGTAACACCATCAAACACTAAAACACCATCCAAAGGGCTGCATCTCTTCTCTTGCTGGGTGGGGTTGTATAATGTGATTTTATGTGCAGAAGCTTCAGATATTTTCAGAATGGGTGAGAGTCACCTTCTGCCTTCTGTAGTCAACCACCTGTCATTTTAGCCACTCTGTTCTTTGAGCAATTCAGCCATTGGGGTAGGGATGGATGACTAAGCCGCATGCATGGTAAAATAAATGATGATATGCGTATTGATAAGAATCTGTTTGTTGGTATCTGCTTGCTATGTTTGCAGGGCCCTGTGGTTTAATTTCCCTAGTGACGCCAACACGAGCAGAGAAACACCATGCGCTTTGACACCTGTGTGTTTTCCTCCTCCTAGGGCGTGTTGGAGAGCTTCCTGGGCACAGCCGTCTCTGGAGCCATCTTCTGCCTCTTCGCTGGTCAGCCGCTCACCATTCTGAGCAGCACGGGGCCTGTTCTGGTGTTTGAGAGGCTTCTATTTAATTTCAGCAAGTATGTGCAGACACATCTAATTGTAGATTGGGACTGTTTGACTGCAGAACATTCGTGGTCTAGATAGAGCATAATTCAGAACACCAAAATGCGGAAATTGTCAGCCGTGGAGGGGGAAGGACCCTGAGAGGATAGATAGTCCAGTAGTTATTTTGCATCTGATTCGATGAGGCCCATGCCTCCCCCATTCATGCTTGGGCTCCTTTACCCTCTGACTTCCCTGCTGGGTTTGGTGGAGTGGGGAGCACTCACAGGACAGGAATGAAGAGAGATCAGGATATGTATCTGCCTCCCCCACTTCACATCTCAGCTTAGCACCCTTGCCTGGCACTGGCTGGTCCCTTGAGTTCAGCCCCTGTAGGTAGCTCCTCCACCCTGGCTGTAGTCCTCAGCAGGCTCTGGGGATTCTGTTCCTTCCTTGGTCCTTTCAAACCAGGAGGTAGGATTGGCTTCTTGATCTTGCCGGTCCCTGTAAATAGCCCATTTATTAAATCAGAAACCCATTTGAAAATGACTTCTGGTTCCTGCCATGACCCTGACTGACACACCAGAGACAGGAAATGTATTGTTCAAGGTCACATGGCTCATGCATGAACGAGACTGGCTGCTCGTGTGGTCCTCTGCCCCTAACCTCCACTACAGTGTTTTTAGCTAAAGATGCCTTGTAGCACTCAGCTGAGTAATAACTAACATTTGTTGAGTGCTGACCATGTCCCAGGCATTATCTTATGTGCATTACATATACTCCCTCATTTAATTCTGGTAGCAGCCCTATGAGGTAGGGCCGTGTTCTGCTTGATCGATGAGAAAGCTGGTGTGGTGTGGGTAAGTGGATTGCCGACGGTTACATCACCCATCATTGTCTGGGCTGGGAAAGGAGTCCCTGCTTTCTGACTCAGTAGCATCCAGCTCTTACAGAATCACTAGACATACTAATGGGCATGATAATTATGATATGAATATGTTTTTTTTTTAGAAAATGGTGGATCATTGTAAGGAGAAAATCAATTTACGCAAATTATCCAAGTGGCCACATTAGCACACAAATGGGTTTGAAATAAAGCTTGGTATTCCAGCCTCTTTCTAATGAACTTAATACCTTCAAGAGAGAATTGTCTTTCCTGGCAGATCTCAACCTTTAAACAGATTGAATAATTTCATAAAACTTGCTATTTTTACTCCATGTTGGAATTTCCATATTACATTATTACACATTTTTAGTATTTTAATGTTAGAAATGTCATTACTTATACCTCAGGAGGGGATGAGGACTTAAAACTAGCGGTTTGAAAACTGGATTGAGAATGTCAGCGAGTGTCTTTTGAGAATTTGAAGTTCTACATTTTAAATAATGTTGTGAGTTTTCTCTAGCTCATTACTACCCATCCCTCCTCTCTTATAATTCTCAGAAAGACATTGGAAAGAATTCTGTTCATGTCAGTTTATAGAAAGAGTCAAACAGTCTTTATATGTTTAAGAAAACATTGTATGAGACAAGAGAGCTTTTGTGGAAAGATTAAACAAGCATGTACTATAAACAGGAACAAACATGCACAACCCTTGCGGAAAGATTTATAGGATGCAGTGATCAGTGCCTTAATCTACAGAAAATGTTTGTATCTCAGTTTACTTTAGATAATTGAAAGAGAGAGATTATTTCCTTTCACTAAGTTCCTTTCTCACTTTCCCTTCTGTTTCATCATAATTGGTAACATAAACATAGTTCCAAGTGATTTATTGGAAAACAGTTGTAAAGCAGCAAGAAACCTTATAAGTCATGATGGATTTAAAGTGAGGTTTCTCAAATGTTTTCCTGTTGTGGAAATCCTTATTTTATTTACAGTGCTGTATCATTTACTTAACTATTATAATGACAGTGCTAATATTTTGTCTACATGCAGAGTATTTGTCTAGATGGATATTCCCCAAAGTGTGTTCCATCAATTAGTAGTCCCATGGATACTCCATGAAAAAAAAAAAAAAAAAAACACCTAATAAGTCTGGGAAATGCTATATATTTATCTGCCTCTTGGCAGTACACTTTATATGTTATCTTATGAAGGGATCTGAGAAATCCTCCAGTGAAGAAAGTGTTCTATTCTGTCTTTCCCAGACTTTCCCCAACATATTTTGTAATTTTTTGAGAAATAGTTGAATTCTTGTTTTGTAGGGTAAGTGGGCTCATACAGTAACTCTACATAATCCACAGATTTTCTCTGTCACAGGATATAGATTTGAATCTTTGCCCTGCAAAGTGGAGAATCACAAAAAAAAAATGTGAGTGATATGTGCTGTCACCTTTTAAAATTAGTAACAGAATGAAGGAAAGAGCTCACAACTGTCTCCCAATTTCTGCCTTCTCTTTTGCATTATTTTTGTACATTGTATCCCAGTAATACAGAAATAGATGATTGGACAAGGCCACCCACATTATGGAAAGAGAGATGGAAACATCTATGAGGGAGAAACATACATTGGCTGCCTCCCACATGCCCCCTACTGGGGACTGAGCCCAAGACCCAGGCATGTGCCCTGACCAGAAATCTAACCATGACCTCCTGGTTTATACGTTAATGCTCAACCACTGAGCCATGCCAGCCAAGCAAGGAATGATTTCTTTATGGTAGCATAATGATATCACTAGACCAAATCCTTAAACTTAATATTTTCTGGAAAACAAATCAAGAATGAGCTTTTATTTAGGGGCTCAATGTGATCTTGCAATGTTGGCAATCTTTCTACAGACATTCGGTAGTTGTATATTATTCTTTGTGATCACTGGAGACGGAGTCTAACATTTATTTCTCCTTTTCAGGGACCATGGTTTTGACTATTTGGAGTTTCGCTTGTGGATTGGCCTGTGGTCAGCCTTTCTGTGCTTCATTTTGGTGGCCACCGATGCCAGCTTCTTGGTTCAGTACTTTACTCGCTTCACTGAGGAGGGCTTCTCTTCTCTGATTAGCTTCATCTTTATCTACGATGCTTTCAAGAAGATGATCAAGCTAGCCGATTACTACCCCATCAACTCTGACTTCAGAGTGGGCTACAATACTCACTTCTCCTGTGCCTGTATGCCGCCTGACCCAGGTGAGGACACCGTGGGCAGCATTGGTGCTTGCCTGGTGGTTGGAGGAAGGTGCGGGGTTCATGCGTGCAAGCTTTCAGCATGGGATTGTGACCCTCAGGAAGGGGTTTGTTTTATTTTCTCTTTGAGACCATCCTGTTGAATTTGAAGTGTCCTTGCCTGAGGTATCTTAGCCACGTGATTCCAGGTGACTGGAATCAGCTCTAGAATCTGACCATAACCAGCTCAGTACTTTAAAATTAACTCAAACTGCATTAGTTTCAAGGAAATTGTGTGTGAGTTATTAGTAATCTTATCTGATAGGTGAGGAAAGCAGGTACATAGTACATTAACGGATACAAGGACCAGGCAAATCTAGACTTCTGAGCATCTGTCCCATATTTCACTGCTCCTTTATTGCTACGGGAATCTCTTCCTTTAAGAAAACTCTAAATAGATTGTCTTAAGCCTATAGAAGAAGCAAAGGAGACACTAATTCACTTTGTATATCTGAATCATAAAATTAAAAATAAATGCAGACTGGAGTCACCTGGCAGTAAAATAGAACCTTAATGTTCATCTCTGTTAGACAACATAAGTAAGAAATGGAAAGGAAAAGAACAAACAAAAGAAAAAAGAAAAGAAGGAATTATATCAGAGAAGATTTATACTCTAGAGTCAGGAAAGACATAAAAGTAAAATTAACTTCTGGATAAGAAATATGATTCTATACATCTTAGTACTTTAATATCCATCTTGCCAAACCTGGAAACTTTTTCGCAAAAAAAGTGTTCAACACTTGGTCTTTGAAAAAATTTCTAGTAGTAACTCACCATCATTTTATAATAGGGAAGGCGTTTGGAAAAAAAGGATTGACTGAGAGAAAAATTGCTTTACATATGTCAGAAAAAAATTAAATGGTAATAGTGTTAGTGGTCCCAAGTTATGCAATCAGCTACAGGTCGATGCCCCTTAATGTGAAGATTGATATACAGCCCATGCATGTCCTTTGGAGTGTAGAACCAGTTACAGCAGTGTTCTGAGGGCTGTGCAAACACAAACATGAGTGTGGGACACATTCAGAAAAAACCCTCTAAATATTTATAGGAAAACAAATATGGTTATTGTATAGACTACAGTGCAAATGCTTTAGAGTTTAAAGACCAAACGAAATGCTACAATGCTCGAATTCTGATGCATGTGGCAGGCTGTGTCAGATTACTCCCAGATGCTTGAGTTGTGTACCTTCATTCTTCTCTGTCACTTTGGGGAGAACTTTTACAGGACTGATATCATCTTGAGTGGTGAGAGAAAAGAGAACAGTATCTTCCTAAAAATGTGTCCATCAGCAACACTGATGAGAAGATAGGGCATTGTTAGGCTTTGCATGCATGGATTTTTGTTTTGTTTAAGGAACATCGACACACATTAAGAGAAAACCCATGCTTAAAAGCAAAGCAGAGAGAGTATAAAGTGGGAATATAAAAATTCGGAAGAACATGAATCACATGTAATTATAAAGGCCTGATATTGTTAAGATGTATACTGATTGGAAATATTTTATAACTTAAGAAGAGTATGGGAAGAATAGGTACTCAATGCATGATGGATATTAGAATCAATTAAATACGCTTCATATAGAAACACAGATGTTACCCATTACACAATGGCGTAAAGCTCTTCCTAGGAGAGAAGGGGGTAGAAGTCCCAGTCATCACCCATCCTGGACTTTTAGGGGAAGTCCGGACTGTACATGTTCAAAATATTGGATCACAGACATACAGCAGGTACTCAAATAAAATCATTTTGTTCAATGTCATTTTGTTATAGATTAATGAGATGCTGTAGGAGCTTAACTCTTCTTTATATCAGTTATCCAACAATAAAATTGGTTTTGTTATACATCATTTTGCCTAAAGTCACCACCTATCAACAGTGTGACGTGAGGACTTATTGCATTTAATTGTGGGATTTCAAACTCTACTTTTCCTTTTATTCTACTTATCTGTATGTATATATTTATGGAAAAATATGTGAGCTGACCTCTTAGGCAAGTATGAATAATCATACACCAAGATTTTCTAAAGAGAAAACACCACTGAGCAGTGCTGTGGTGTGAGGTATTCATAAGGATAGGTGAGGGCTTTGTCAGCACACCTGTCACAAGGACAGATCTGCCTGTTGTCAGCCCGGTGCCCACCTGAGGGGAGTGGAAACTTGCTCCCATTGTTTTAATTGGATGCTGGCAGAAAAAGTAACATGAAACCCAGGAAGGCATATCTGAATGTGTTTTTATTATGAAAGACACAAAAAGGTTTTACATATCATTTTCCTTCCAAGCAGTACCTTGGTTTTCTTGAAAAAATGATATTGAGGCCTAGACTGATCTGACGTTTGTCTAGGCTGAGGTGGTGGTGGCTCTTCCTTTGACCCGTTTCTCCCAGGTTGTGTACAAGTCAGTCCCATGTAGCTAGACAGCCCTCCTACGTCCGGAGGTACCAGCAAAACAGGGCTGCTTGGCTTCAAAGTCAGAAAATCACACATTCCTGTCCCAGCTCAGTAATGCCCAGTGTGTGACTATGGGGAAAGCTCATGTTCCTGAAGTAGCTTAGTCTTGCCAGATCACCTGACAAATGGGGTTAAAAATAGAACCTACCTTATAGAATTGTTTTCAAGGGGGTGGGGGGAGAAAGGAGACATTATAGAGAAGACTTAGTTTCTAATATGTGATAAATAATTAAATGTTAACTGCCTTTATTCATTAAAATTGAAGGCTCGTGAGTAGCTTTTAAGTAGGATGATAATAGAACAAAGAAATCAGTCTTCCTCATTCTCCCTTCTGAGGAAACATTCTTGGGCAGCTGGCCCATTCTACAATAGGACTGTTGGTGGTACTCTGTATTTTTAGAGTCATCCAGATGAGTGGCACTCATGACCGATGTGCTCATGAATGCCAGGATGGGGATGGGATCTGTTTCTGGTTTGGGAAAAAAGCAAATGGCTACTTGCATTTTAGTGACAATCCATGTTTTACAAAACCCCTTAAGATTAATGATAGTGTATTTCTCCAATAGCCTTGGTATGTATTTATAGCAAATTGCAAAAACCCACCATAAATTTAGTACTTCATGATAGCAAACTGAAAAACGATAGCAAGAGAATAATGCAGTATCACGTACAGCTAGAGTAAGTGTTCTAAAAACAACAAAAGACTGGTCTTTCATCACAACATGCCCTCCTACTAAAAGAATTCAATCAATGAGTCAATAATATTTAAACTGGCGGGTGACTTGTTTTCCAACATGAGGGCAGTATGTAACAGTGAACCAAGAGCTACACAGATGTAGTCGTGTTCCTGCAAACTGAGAAATGGTTTTACAGGAGGAAAACAAGAGTCATTTAATCACTAAGAAAACTCTACTCATGGCCAAAATAATATTGTGAGTTTTTATGATCTTTTTTGTTCTCACTTGCTTACCTAAAACTTCATCACTTCCTGAGTTTCCTTTTCTTTTTAAAATTTATTTCTTAAAGTATCTTTAATAATAAATAAAAGCATATTATGCCAATTAGCCTGGACATCCTTCCAGATGAAACTGAGACTGCAAGGGAAGCCTAGGTCCCAGGTGCCTGCCAGTGGCTGGAGGGAAGCCTGGGCCCTGGAGGCCAGAGGGGGGATGGAAGGCCTACTCTTGCACGAATTTTGTGCATCGGGCCTCTAATAGTTAGTATACAATCTTATGTTGGCTATATTATGTTTCAAGTGTATCATATAGTGATTTGGCATCTTTATGCCTTAAAATGTGATCACATCACTAATTCCAGTTATCATGTGTCATCTTGTAAACTTACCACAATATTTTTTACTATATTCCCTTTTCCCTTTGACTGTAGTCACTCATCCCCCATTCCTCCCCCTGGTAATCATCCCTTTGGTTTGTTACTATGAATCTGTTTTTCTTTTGTTTGTTTTTAGATTCCACATGTAGGTGAAACCATATATATTTGTCTTTCTCTGCCTGACTTATTTCACTTAGCATAATACCCTCTAGATCTATCTGAGTTTCCTTTTCTTAATGTACCCTTTTCTCCCTCTCACCTCATCCATTGCTCAGGAATGAAATGCCATAGATAAAAATGTTTGGCGCCTAACAGACACTGCGTAAAAATTTGTGTTTTGTTTTCTTTTTTATTAATAATTTCTCATCACCCCACAAAAAATACTCTAGACAATTTGTATTCATGTACAGGGGTTCACACATTTTATTTTCCCTGAAAATTTTCTAGCAAAAGATACTAACTAAGCTTTTATGGGAAATAAAAATTGCAATTAATATGCTGTGGTAGATAAATGTGAAACATTGAAGCCATATTCAAAGAAAAAATATTAAGGTGTTCAGTGCATCATAATTAGATAATTTAATAATATTCCACTGAATCTCAAGACTACAAACGTGTTAGCAAGCATGCATACAGCATACACAATCATATAGAAAAAGGCTTTAAAGTCTTAGAGGTCAGCTCTGCTAAGAGGAATCTAATTCATTCAAAAACATAAAAATCAGTCCTGCCCGGTGGTTCAGTGGTTGGAGCGTTATCCCTTATACCCAAAGGTAATGGGTTCGCTTCCTGGTCAGGACACATACCTAAGTTGCTGGTCAGTCCTCGGTTAGGATGCCTACAAGAGGCAACAGATTGATGGTGAGGATTTTAAAAGCAAACAATACGTTTTAAAACAAAAACAACAAAAAACAAAAATAAAAATAAATTAAAAAGCAAACAAAACACAAATGTCGGAATTTTGTGAACAGGATATGGACTTTCTTTACCCCTTTTCCTTCCCCTTCTATCATCAAAACAAAATTTTTAAAAATATATCTTATTGATTTTTTACAGAGAGGAAGAGAGAGGGATAGGGAGCTAGAAACGTTGATTAGAGAGAAACATCGACCAGCTGCCTCTTGCACACCCCCTACCGGGGGATGTGCCGCAACCAAGGTACATGCCCTTGACCAGAATCGAA